GTGGTTCAGCAGGAATCCACATATGTTTCGCTTTCGAACAAGGCCGCTTCGTAATTTTATGCTTCGGCCGGGACCTTCTAGGAGCCAATGTCTTCCAGAGAACAGCCCCAACGTATGCCCACCCACGTCGAATGGAGGTGGCCCGCTTTCGGTGTAGCAGTGTCGGAACCACTAGTAATTTTGCTTAGCGTTCGTTGCCTTAGCACAGAAGATGCCCATTCAGGATTGTTGAGAATTCGTTCCACGTTCCCCAGTAAACCCGCGCATTCATCGTTGCGCAAAATTAAAGTCACAATACAGAGCAATCAACAAGAGTTTCGCAATCGGTTCGACAATGATGCAAATGCGGTCATCTGATTCACGAAGTCAATTCAAGTGCGACGAACACGGGACTTGATAATTAACAGGTGGCTTCATTCTACTCAAATAGGGAAACCTGTGAAACCAGTGATTTACAGTCGAATCTGTATGCCCTGTGGTACATGAATAGTGAGATGAAAACTTATTTTGATAAACCCTTGGTGTTTTCTCAAGTAAATTTCAAGTGAAGCGCTAGCTGACAAATGAGGCACGAAAAATCAATGTAGTGTTCATAAGCCTCTCAAACATATATTGTCAAGCGGATCAATCAGAACGAGGCAGAGGGAACTTATTGTCGGCCTACCATGGACGCCCATGTTGTTGAGGGTAAACACGCCAGATGGCAGGCAAATTTCACCACAATTTCCTGGTGTGCATGCGGTAATTTGTAGTTTTTAACCTGTGTGTTATTGTCAAGTAGAATAATGGTGTAAATTTGCACCCTATCCGTTGAAACCTCTCATTCAGGAACAACCTCATTCTGGCATGGCTTTTCTACAGTGCGGTGCGTGTAATCAAACAAGAGTTAAACCATTGTTATAACTTCCATTGTAGTGTGATTGGGGTCGAAACCGAAACCCCAACGATATGAAATCGGAAATCCTTTTTTAAAATCTAGAAATCACTTCTGGTATAAAAGCGAGAGCAGAAAACAAGCGTGTGCTG